ATAACGTTACAAGAAACGAATCAACCTAACGGCTGCAGCCCCCCTCGCCCCCCCCCCCCCCCCCCCCCCCCCCCCCCCCTAGCACTACGGAGATATACTATAATATGTAATGCATGCATACCTATACGATACATACGTTGCGCCGAACACGAGATAAATTTAATTGGGTTTTTATGCACAAAAAATATCGACACGCGATAAATGAGAGACGATTTTGATAATACCATAGGTGCGAATGGTGCAATAACAACATCGTTCACGCGTTTCGTGCGTTTTTCCGTCGGAAAGTCTGTCGGATAGCTAATATTGTAATATCGCATTGTTTTTAATATCATTGATTTTATGACAAATTTTATAGTATTTTATTACGTTGTAAAATCAATGTCGATACACTCGCAGACACGTCGTGGTCCATATTCCATAGCCACGGAACTTTATACTCGGCCATTCGAGACTTGGCCAGATGAGTCCGCGGAAATAGGCAGATATATTCGCTGCAAAGGTTTGACATGCGTTATTATTTCAAAAGTGCCCGGGATAGGTAGTACTCGATGATATTATTATATATTATTTAACAATACTGCTTAAAATGGTTGCTCGCTTATGATATTTCGATTGTGGGCCGTTGAACGAACTGAAAAAAAACGTATTGTATCGTCTCCTCTCGAACACTGCTTATACTATATGCTGCAAGACGAAAACTGGAAAAACTATAGTTTCCATCTCGTAATCGTTTTTCGAACCCCCGACGATTTAGAATATGCTCACGGGCTATGACTCAAGAGCTATTTATAAGTTTGGTGGCGACAACATTTTGGGACGAGATTGTATTTTCCTACATTTTTTAAATGTTTGATTTTGTTAGACGCTCATCGTTTATCGACGGTTATTTATCGCGATGGTATTTTTTGTCTATGGTATAAGCTACCAAACTTGAGTGAGTGAGAATAGAGTATGATGAAACTACTAGTTTAATAATTATGTGTATTTAATGTTTAGATGAGCGGAGTAGTGGGCAAACGATTTACCTCCAATGCTGAATGTGAGATACTCCACTCCGCGTCTCCGCTCATAAAATCGTTAAATGCTTTCACACCCTCCCCTTTTCGGCCCAACCAAAAAGTCTAATAATTAGGTACTTGGAAAATAATGTTTCAATATATTATTATATTTTTAATAATTGTCTATTACATTATATTTAATAATTATTGATACAAATTGTATATATTTTATTATTATAGTCATTTGTGTTTTCTACGCATTATATATATAACTTGTTTTTAATAACCACGTATTATAATTTGTAACCCTATAAAGTATACACTAAACTTTTAACTTTGGTTGACAAGTAAAGGGTACGATTTTGGTCTAAAACCGACAACCCCGATAAGTGTATTATAGCATTTTTCGACGAAAACGCTCGAACCACACTAACTCTGAAATTAATTTGATGAACAATAATTGTTTTGTCTTACAGGCGTGCGTGTGTACTGCAGTTAGGCGCATAATTTTCGTCTCGGGCCGTATTGTCCTCTCAAATCCGCTCGCGCCAACGAGATTATCGATAAATAATAATATACTATTTGCAGGTAATTGATTAACCGCACACTGCGCACATTACGCGCATATCATTATTACGATACGAACACGTTGTTCAATATCATTAAACGAAAGCCACGGAGTGTCGGAAACGATCGGAGAGAAAAAAAAAATGAAAAAAAAATCACCGGCACGTACTCAGCTCGACTGTTGGCCGCTGCAGCGATGGAATGCGCGTTGTAATTAAATACTCCACGGGCAACCCGTCATCGCTCGCACACACATGATGTACACTGACGGCGGCGAGTTGTCGAAAACGGATAGAAACACCGAAGCTTCTACGCACATATTGTACTGCGACGACGACGACGACGACGACGACGATAATAATAATAATAATGATAATAATAATAATAATAATAATGATAAATAGTAACGATTAAAACCGATAATAATGTGTACCTATACTTGGCCGGTCGTGGCCTCGATTCGGCGCAGCAGATCTCGTGCAGCAATCTTTGGTCGGTCGACGATTCAAGCCGTTTGTCGGTCGTCGGGGGCGCATGTAAACTCCGCCGCAAACGCCTTTTTTTTTAACTCCGTCGGGGAAAAACAACAGGTGAAATTGCGTCCGTGTAAACTCCGCCGGTGGAGAAAATCGAGTCACAGTATGAAATTGAAAAGCGACAGGTATTATTATATAATATTATGTATACGTTATCATAACATCCCGAATAGTGTGTACAAAAATTAATAAAAAACAATAACCGTCAGAACAGACCGTCCAAATCGTCATAATCGTAACGACCGTGGCAACCCGGGTATAACGATATTGTGTTGTGTCATAATATGTGACCAGCTGTCAACTGAAACGAAGAGACACAAATCTGTAGACATTCAGACTTCTCCGATTTACGTATGACCATACGTTCTCTAACACCATCATTTTTGGGATTTTTGAGCCTCTTCAGTCGAGACATTGTATATTATTGAGTCGTACACAAGCACTGCCGGAGTTTCCATACATCCGTTGCGGGAAAGAAAATAAATACGACGTAGTTTATTACCATTAGACCACTTTTCATTACATTTTCGTCTGATCGGTATGTTCTGGCGGAGCTGACGATCGTCAACCGTCGGGTTCGTTCGGCGGGCGGCGGATTTTCAATAACGCGCCACTGTCGATACAACAATATAATAATATTGTAGTTTTGTGTTGTACTTGCGGTAGAAATTTTACACGGCCAACGCTTACGCGCCGATCGTCGGTCGATTTTGCGATGTATTAACGTCATCAGCAGCTGTGATGTCTGATATCATTCCAACGAGTTCAAGGAGTGTGTACCTGTGTGTGTGTGTGTGTGTGTGTGTGTGTGTAAAGTTATGATTATTATAATACGGTCTATTGTTTGCCAGGAACCTGGTCCGACAATTTAGGAACCCGTTGAAATCGCTTTGACTTAATACGATATTATGTTATATATTGCACAGGGCCCTATATTTGGGGGGGGGGCGGAATATGTACCCTTATTTTGAAAGAATCCATTTTCGTGCAGTTCAGTAGTTGTACCTGCGGGTAAAATATCATCATGTTCTTCGAGGCGTTCCGCGTCAAGTCTCGTATTTTATATTTATCGCCTAAATATGATAACATATATAAAATATGGGTTAAAACAATTTTGGTTATTTCTGTTTAGATTTTTTCCGTAATCTACAAAGACAATAAGTGAAATTACTAGAAAAAAAATTGGCCCGTTTAAGGCGAACAATTATTACAACACGAGATGTGGGTATGGTAAATAGGCGCAATAGTATTTATAAAAGGGAATTTATGAGCTTTTTAAGTGTGTTTAATTAAAAATGATCTCTTATTGACACGTTAGGTTATCGCTCCTCCTGCATTACCTACCTAGTGGTCGTTATGCGGCTGACGAGTATATTATTATAATATACTTTACACTACCGTGTTTGGACACCACTGATTTGGACGCGACCGGTCGTCGTGTATCGTTACAACAAAAACAACAACCAACAACAACAACAACAATAAGCAAGTATAATAATAATAATATTATAAACGCATATACACGAGAGAACGAGACGGTGGGCCGGGTTGGTTGGGTGGGCAGGAGAGGTGTTGAATATTACGAGGTGTTGGGTGCCTGTCAAACGTACAACACACTTAATGTCTTCACACCGGCGGCGGCGGCGGCGGCGGCCGAGACTAATTGTAAAAGATGTCTTCATCGTCGCCGTAGCACCGCGCGGAAAACGTACAAACACACACACGCACACACGCACACACACAGATGTCAGAATAAAGTGGCTTTACACGTTATGTTGTTATTATATTATTATTATTATTATTATTATTATTATTATATACGAACCTCTCCTTCTCCTTCTGCTGTACAGTACACCTGTGCGAGCGAGTCGTTATACTCATGCCGAACGTGCACGTATATATGTGTGTGTGTGTGTGTGTGTGTGTGTGTGTATAAGTGCAGGTTGATCGTCTGCCGTACAATATAATAATATAATATACGGAGCGTTATTCTCGCGTTTTTTTTTTCGACTTTCCGTCGGAAACGATATAATTATTATTAAATTATTATCGCATTGAGGCGGTCCTCCTCCGGTGTGTACCTGTACACATGCCTGCAGTATTGTGTGCGGCGGTAACGAAAAGGAGAAAAAAAAACGTTTTTATGCATCCATAAAAAAAAAAAAAAATGAAATAATAATAAATGATAATAATTCAACTTTATTTTTTATTATTATGATTATTATTTCGTTTTATAATACAATCGTATACGTAATAATATATAATAAAAACCTTAACGTAAAAACGCGTTTATACAAGTCATTCCGGAATAAGGGATCGATGCACGTATAATGTATAGGTGTATACACGAGAGTACGAAAACGGTAGCGATCAAAAACGATAAGTTTTATTTTTTCTCTCTTCCCGTTCGTCCCTCTTTCGCTGCAGTCCGTGCACCGCGCGACAACGGTGGTGGGGAGGGGGAAGGGAAGGTCTTGTCTACGGAAACAATAAGAAATATCTCTATACATAATATTATATATAATAGCATAATATAATAATACAATATCATAAAATACGTTTGTTCGGACTTGTACACAAAACTATATAGTATAATATAAACTGTATAATGATATATATTATAATTATGTATACACTTATTGCACTCGCGTGTTTAAATTTACAGATATGCCAACGTTCGATGGTTAACAAAAAAAAAAAAAAAAATTACATGGGTATACATATTTTTGTCGACTGTGTATATAATAATGTAATAATCGCTATCATAAACGTGTCTTAACTAAACATTACTTACAAATTCACAATAATAATAATAATAATATAATATATACGACAATTATTATCATATTATATATACAATGTGTTAACTTACAACATATATATATATATATATGTATATTATTGACTAGATTCTTGTCATACTTACTAATGGGCTGTTTATAACGGACGGGGGTTAATATAGATCTGTACAGAGAACAGTAAATAAAAAATATGACGTATTACAACATAATTTAATGTGTGATATTAATCCACACGGGTTCTAACGTATTTTCGCATTTCGTCGTCGTCGATACAGGTACCTTACGGACGGAGTTCCCTGATCGCTGTCATCAAATCGCAGGCAGGTGGTACACGAATATATAATGATTTATCATTTATTGTAGGTATAACAAATAATAATAATAATAATAAAGTGATTGACAAAAATCGCGAACCTGTCGTCGGGTCGAATCTCCGTGGCACTTATTTGTACGATACGACAGTATTACACCTACCTACGGCGTAATAATATATGAAGTACAAGAACGATTCAAACTCGAATGAAAATTTTCGAAAATAATAAAAACATATAAACAAAAATTGAACATGGTAACGTATGTATTATACACATTATATTTTATGTACGACGATCTATTGTTCGCCTGCAGCCGAGTGTTATTATACATAATATAGTTTGTTATGCGATGTACACAGCTGCTGCTGCAGTCTCCAGGATAAAAATCAAATAATTTAAAGAGAAAAAAAACGTAATTTTAAGGATAAATTGTTATGTAATATGATAGGTCATTGATCTGAGATAAAATTGAATATCTAAAAACGTTTACAGTCGAGTCTCAATGACTCGAATTTCTTACTAGCCCCCTGTGGGGTTTTCAAGTTGTGTTTTAGGGAGGTGTATGTAACTCGAAAAATATACAAGTCAAAACATTATGTTTATTGCCTTTGAGATTCGAGTTATCGGGACTCGACTGTATTATTCCATAATATTATTACGTCATTATTATAGGAACCTGCGTTGATTTGACGATGACGACGAACACGTTTATGCCAACCGACGGTGGGAATGTGTGAGGTACGTGGTAGGGAGTTCACACTTTGTTGTTGTTGTTGTTGTTGTTGTTGTTGTTATTGTTGTTGTTGATGTTGTTGTTGTTGATGTTGTTGACGTGAGCGGCGGTGATGCTGAACGGCCGATTGCCGCCGGCCAACAGGGATTCGATACTGAACGGGTTCAGACGACGGGCCTTGTCCGCGGTGGCCGTCGACGAAGTGGTCAGGTTCAGCAGCGGCGGCGGCGGCGACGAATCCCCGTCCGCGTTCGGTGGCCGCCTGTACAGGCGCCCGCCGCCGAATTCCTCGTCCGAACTACAGCTCTCGTTGCCCCGGCAAGCGGCGGCCACTGCGGCCACCGCCGCCGCCGCGGCCGCAGCGGCGCGCGCGTACGGCGGCAGTCCCTCGTCCTCGTCCTCGTCCAAATCGTCATCGTCGTCGTCGTCGTCGAACGTCGTACTGGCGCTCCGCCTGTGGTGCAACATCCTGTGGTGGTGTTGGTGTTGGTGGTGATGGTGCAGCAGGTGGTCCTCTTCGCCGACCACGTCGATCTCCTCGTCGCGGCTCGTCTGTCCGCTGCAACAGCTCGACGAGTCGTGGAAAGACAGATCCATGCCGGCGTTCGACGATCCACCGATTCCATCCATTCCACCGCCGACGACTCCGCAATCCATGTGACCGTGTTTTTTGGCCGCGTCTGTACGAACAAACAAATGTCAACCGTTAAAACTACAAATTCCACTTATTGATGCGTTACGATTCTTACATCGCCACCACATATTATTACGATTTTTGGTTTTTTTTTTTATATCACTTTATAATAATATCATTAATAGGTACGCGATTGCCCCACAAATCTAATGTCGGAGATTCCCATTTGTATGATGATATTATACACAACATAATATTACTATGTACTTGGTCCGATACAAGCAAACTGTCACGATGTAAGTGTTGGGTAAACTATAAGAAAGTAATTCGATGGAAAAGAAAAATCGTCGCAATTAGATTTACCGTGTTATTGTACATCATCGTGAGACGACGATTTTTCCAAACACAAATCGTGATTGAAAAAAACACTCGATTTAATGAAAATATATATATCTGCTATCTTTTGTATATTTTTTCAATGTAAAATTGTGTGTTAACATATTCGATTTTAACTTCGTTATGTTCTATACAAGCAACGGTAGGTACCTATACACACATAAGAGAAAATCGAACATACCAAATATAATATACCGACGCAAACGGTCGTAACTATTTCTATGCGCATAGAACAACATAACTAATACACTCGAGCTGGATATATGTTCCTCGGTTCGCCTCAACGTCATTATAACATATTATTATATTTTATATCATCTATAGAACCGGACAATTCCATTGGATACTGGGCATGGCGCACACTTTTAAAGAGCATTTAACGAGGTCGTTTTGATTGGTTTTTCGTTTGGAACGAGTAACGCACTACGCGCGCCGCCGTAGAGTGGCATATACGTGTGCCATGAGAACATATTTTCCAATAACCGTATCGAAACACATAATAATATTGTACCGGAATATAATGTGCGGTATTCGTAGACGGCATAATATTGTCGACTCGAAGAATTCAAGATGTGTGTATCAGACATCGAAACGGTCAAATTGTTTTTTTTTTTTTTTTTTCATCCGATCGATTCAAATACTGCATTAAAATAATTATACGCCGATGCAGGACGACCAAATGTCTTACATTGTACAACGACATGTATGATATTTAGGAGATATATATTTGCTGTATAAGAAATAAATTCTATTATACGGCGTATAGGTACTCGCATATAGGCTCCATACGTATGTTTCGGACATAGTAAATATTGTGCGTATGGGTTATAATTGTCTACAGATTGCATAACGTTAATTACAAGAAAAATTATGTGTAAAATATATAATGGCTGTTTAAAAACGTACTACTTACAAGACATTGGATACGGCGAAATCGCTGTCGGCCATAATATATATATATATATATAGTACCTACCCATTATTGTGCCTACACATCGCGGTCGGGATATATTGCAATTTATTTTATACTGAAAACACCACTTACTGTTGGCTTGCTGAGACTCCCATTCCTTGCGCAGAGTGTCCAAGTCAACGTGCACCCCTTTGGCAGCCAACTTCCTCTGTTGTCGTTCCAAGCTCTTGAGCAACTTTTTCTGCCGCCGTTCGCGCTCCTTGCGCCGTAACTCGTCCGCGGGTATCGGCTCTCCGGAACAAGTCACCGGATGTGCGTTGTGCGCCGGTCGACCCGGTCCCTTTTTGGTGTGTTCCTTTTTCCGCCATTTCGCTCGTCGGTTTTGAAACCATACCTGTGAAAGGAAATTCGTTGTTTTTTTATAGGTAAGTATACATATACGCTCTTGCGCTGTTGCAGTTATACTATATAACAGTGAGGTGTGTTGTATATTATATTATCTGCCATTGCTCCTTATTCCCTGATAAACTTTCGTGTCTTTCCTGCACGGCCGACCCACTCCATTGCTCCATTTTACATTCCCAAACGCTCTACCAATTACAGTCACAATAATCCAATTTACCGATTGATGCACCTATAGCCAACACCCACCCCTAATTTCTTTTGTAATCTGGTTACCTAGTTCCTACTCACTTCTAATGAACTCGTCATTATTTGTAAATACCGACTACTGTACTTTGGGCCAATCCCGTTTTTCATTAATAAATAAATGTAGTATAAAGAACTATTCAGTGATGCAGCCGAGGACAAATAGAACGAATGAAAATAAATAAATAAACAACCAACAATTATAATTGACCCTACTGCAAAATGGTGAGAAAACAGATTAGGACCCAATCAGTACCTATGTCGGTACATACAGGCAACAATTCAGATAATAAAAGCAAGAAATTCCATGCCATTCTATCATAGTAGATTTATATATTGGCCGACAAGTGCTCTTCTTATCAATTCAGTATAATATTGTATACTGATGAAAAGCGCCCCATAACAAATCGCCTTTAAATTCCATAATAATTCGATAAACATAGATATTTTAAGAAAGCATAGGCACTACGCGTGTGTTCATAAATATAGGTATATACGCCCGCACTAAAGTTTATCGTCTATTTCTCGCCTACGGCATTCGCGGTCCCGAAACCAGAGCGTATTACACCCCAGGGACGTGTTCTGACTGTATGCTCCGGACTGCAACATGGTGGCGTAGATTATTTAACCATACACGGAACCGTTTGTATATGCGCTTTCCACCCCTCGCGATAAAAAAAAAAAACGGCTAACAAAAACCAACCCCCAGCCGGCTGAAACAAGCATCGGGAATGAGGTTCTAAATCAAAATATTGAGCGAGAAAGGGTGGATGCTCCAGGGAACTTATATACGAAAGATAAAAAAAAAAATGCGAATTCCTCGCCCGGGTACAATAACTCTGCGCGGGCGTATAAATATATAATATAATATACTTACAGCCACTCTGGACTCCTTGAGGTCCAACCGCAGGGCTAAAGCCTCCCTCATGAACACGTCGGGGTAGTGGCTGGCCAAAAAAGCCCGTTCCAGCTCTTCCAGCTGCCACGTGTTGAAATTTGTTCTGGACCTTCGCCGTTTGTTGGCCAGGTCTTCCGGACTGCCCGCTGCGCTGTCTCCGTCAGCCCCGCCTACATAAACGTTATCGTAAGTTAGAGTAAACAATTCAAAAACAAATTCATTTATATTTTTATAAATGAACAACTTGATGATAAAAAATATTTTCAACTCTGGGGGTTTTTTTTAATTAAATGTAGCCACATTTAAATTGCCTATAGTCGTGCATTTTACAACACTCGCAATTATATGTAAGGTGCATTGGTGCGGTATTTTTCACATCCGCATATACATGTCACTTGGTACGCGTATGGTATGCACTATATGTATATATATAGGTGTTTCATGTTTATGTTACATACAATTATATATATTTATTATATTTCGTTAAATTTCTGTCTATTTTATAACTAACAATTCATGCATGATACGTTTCGCATGGGCAGTCGAATACATATTTTACATTGAATATTATTTTTGATGATTGAAAATTACAAATTATACGTATAAGTATAGGTACTGACGCCGTCCGGTAGATATGAAAACCATCATATTACGATTCGCTATACTGATTTCTCAAAAAATGTGCTCATCGGTTGTACCTATGTATAGTACCTATATGCAGGTGACAATTAAATTTATTCATGGCACATTGTCATATAATCACATATTGTAAGGAATACATTTTGAAAAATATCGATAATATAATTCTAGAGACAATTATTTATACATATTATAACCTATGCGTATTATACATTTTATGTGCAGCTTGCGCAAGTATATAATATAGTTTGTAGGTGTTTTAAAATAATACTTCAAACCCTCGGGGTTTACATTATTAGAGAATATTTTTTTCACATTCCGGGTGATTTGAACTATTTCGGAAACAGATTTACGCCACAAGGGAACGGTTGTATTTTCGATTACCGAAAAGTTGAAAATTGGCTTTTCCGGAGCCGGGGTAAAAAGTTTGATACACCGCAGGGCGTTAAAAACACACTTTCAAAGTTCTCGAATTGAAACATAAGTTTACAACAGGCGTATTGTTTACGAACCGAAAAACTGTAGATAAAAACTAATATATAATATATCTATATTTTCCCCCTTTGCTGATCAATAGTACCAACGGGAACCAGTGCTGTGTAGTATATATATTATATTATGCAAGCCCGGGGGAAGAAAACCGCATATCGAGTTAAAACAATTTCGCAATCGCGTCATAAATCATGTCCCCGCGACATATGGCAATATTGGCCTGTACAAGAGAGAAAACCGTTTCCACGAGGATTTTTATCTCGCAGCGTGCATGCACTTCAGACGGTCGTAAATCATACGAGAATATGGAAAAACATAAAGACGAGACTAGATAATAGAATCGGGAGCGTGGAAGCAGTTTTCTGGCGGTCTGAGAGGTGGCGGCGAGTGGGGCAAAATTAATTTTCGCCAAAACGGAGAGCCAGCTAGTCCAAGAGGGGTCCTGGAGAGGAAAAAAATATTTGTATAATAACCGAACCATAACCGAACGAATTGTTTTCATGTTACCCCGGTTACCATAACGTTGCAGAGACCGCCATTATGGCGACAGCGAAATTGCGTTAACTTTTATGAATCGCAGCTGAATCTGCCTCGAGCACGTACGCGGCGATTTTCGCTTCCAGAATAAATCTCAAATAATGTAATTGAAAACTGGTCCGTTGACATACTTGACTTAAAAACTTGTGTTACCGCTCTTACACAGTATATATATATACTAATAACACTAATCATAAAGTCCTAATAACATTTTGAACGCGGTACAGTTGGTACGGAATAAAAATATAAAATCGTTCAAGAAAATGCAATTATTTATGGCTGTATATACGCGTGAATCGGTTGTGAAAAATTTGAAATATTTGAATTGAAAAAAAATTCAAAGTATTTCAGCGCAGAAGAAAAATATTGATATCGGGAAAATACGTATATACCTATATAATTGTTTTACAAACATAACATATATATGCTGTTGTAGAGTGTATATAAGTGCCGACCGAGTATATACTTCACCAAGTAGGTATATACGTCATGTTATACGTCATACACTGTTCAGTTGAGTCAACCGAGTTGACCAATGAAACGTCTCGTCTTAAGTGGAAACAAATAATGACGACGACGACGTGTATGAGTATGGGTGTACGAGGCAGCTGTCACACGTCACATTATATTTATTTATTATTTTTTTTTTCCCCGACAGGAGAGGGACGCGGGGGGACGTGTTTCGGGTGGACCGTGTCAAACGGATAACAATTCGTTAAAATTGAATTAACTCGTCCGCCGACGACGGAGACGGAGACTCTCACGATAGGCGCTCCGACGAACCTTTCTCCACTGCCGCCGAAATGGCATCTCTAAAACGAGTGATGTCGTGTATATATAACACACACACACACACACACACACATACATTATTATTATTATTATTATTATTATTATTATTATTATGTTGTGAGACGCGTTATATGTAGGCGACAATGACGATATTATGACAATGGTAATAGAAATAATGGCGACAATAATGGTGATAAAAAAAAAACCCAACAAACAAGACCGAAGGCGACCGATAGGGAAAAAAAAACAAAAAAAAAAAAAAACGGTTTCACGATGTGCGAAACACACGTCGTCGGGCCGCGCGCCGACACAAAAATCTAGGACGTTGGATTTTTATTATCATAGGTGGTGTACATAACATTATATTATTATTATTATTATTATATACTGACGACGGCGGCACAATAACGCGTCTGAGTATCATAACTATCGTTACCTATATATATTATTATATTATATTAGCGGGAAGTCGTAGCGCCGCGAACGGTCTGTACAACTATATATATATATATACAGGTCGGTAGGATGGCAATAATAATAAGGCGCCATCCTCGTCAGACGTGCGCAATCGGCTCGACGTGTGGAGAATTTGAAATTTGGTAATTGTATATGTACCATATATATGTGTATAGGTACTATGTTTGGGGTTTTGACGGTATATAATACGATAGGCACAATATATTGTTCATACATTATATAAACGCTAAACAGTTACCTATATTTTGCACCTTTACTATATTTATAATATTGCGGTATTAAACATTTTAAAACGATTTCGTATTTTGTTATTAATTATTACCTATACCTTTTATAATACTATGCCTTGCCTATATATGCTTCAATTATAGCTTTATAGTACCGCCTATATTTACAGTAAAGGATTTATTAAAAAAAAAAAAAAGAAATATTGACACGATATATATGACCGTTGCGTGTTCCTGGGTACCTATTCGCACATGCGCACAAGTTCAAAAGTTTTTCCTAAACGAGACCATCGCACAGTGCCGGGTAAAGTGCATAGCGGTTTTCGTTGTGGTAAAACACAGCCATTATTACACGTTAAACGGATCGTCTTGGCTATCATCCGGCCGGTACGTCGTGCGATATTCTCTGCGAGTTGGAGCTCGTAATAAATTTCGGATTCCGTACAGCCTTCGCGAGCGTCGATGTTTGGCAACTTTGCCAACATTTATATACACACATATATATATATATATATTTATACGTATACGGGCCACTGGCGGGGGATAGATAAAGTTAGTTCACGGGCTTCCATTACGCCGAGGAGGTTTTTGATTAAACAAAGTTCATTTGATAGATGACGATGGCAAACGGGTATATATATATATATTATATGACACTGCACGAGTCCAATTAAATGTGAACCTTGACGACATACCTACATCGCTGAAGATCGGCTTTTATGTGCTCAAAATGCTAAATCCACTGCGGAATTACCTTAGAAATTAACACGAACGGCCACGAGTACTATACATATTATAACGTATATGGTACACGAGCTTTTCATTTTCATCCGTAAAGTAAACTGTTCGTGAAAAATGTACAAAAAACCACATTTCAATAATTCTTATAAAACACAATATTACACATCTTCGCGTCTCCAGTGAATAATTATTGAAGAATATCGAGGCACGTTCATATGGGTACATATTGCAAATGGTGAATTTTCGAAATAAATTGGTTAGTTCGATAATTTTACTCTAGGCGTTAGATACGGGGGTGTGTGCAATATTTCATTATTTTATTTTTATTGGGTACGCCCGTTGTAGTTATGTAGGTATACAATAATGTAGAGGAAACAGGTTGTTGTAAACTCCCAAAATATAACTGTCCCGAAGTACATAAACCGGTAGCGATATTATTATTTAAACACGAATATCTTTTATTTTATTGTCGATAAAATTCACGTGTCATTTTTATTCAGACAAATCTATTTCCACTGTTTTATTTATGAATAAAAATTAACATGTGTATAATAAACATTCTAACAAAATAAAAATACGCATTGCCCACAGATTATACAGTAAATACTAAATACACATTATACCCGCGTATATTATTATTAGGTACTGTAAGTGTTTTACTAAGATATATAATGCATAACAATTACTGCAATGTTACAAGCACGCAACCGTGCGAAGCGTTTTTGCGTGAAAACAAACTTTCTGAACGGGTATAATATTTTGTATAATGGCCTCTTTTAAAAATAATAATAATAAAACAGTAGTTAGTGTTGCTATAGTTAGTACGTATATTATATAGGTGTGCGTTAGGTTAGGTTCTACTGCAGCAAGCTCCGGTTGAACGCCGTCACGGACATTTTATTAAACGACAAATGATAAATTTAAAACATTTAAAATTATCAGCTATGTGTCGAAATTCAGTAAACCAATATAACATTTAATAATATACCCATATCATATATTATTGTCTGTATATAGTTTTCTACTACAAGCTCGCGGCAACGGTAGACCGTATTGAACGCGAATATTGATTCGAAGAAAAGTTAATTGAAAGCTTTTTTTTTTTTGACGTAAAGGTACTATAATGTCGATTAATGGGTTTCGATTTTTATACCGTCTTATACTTGAAATTATAGTAATATTATTTTAAATTCGATTCTCGAAGAATGACTATATTATGACGTGTACCTTTATATGCTTGTTTTGAATGTTAATTATTTCGTTAA